TTTTAATCGAATAAAATAGAATAAAATTTAATTTTAATTTAATCTAATTTTATATAATTTTGTATTATATAATTAAGTCAATTTAGTTATTAATAGTTTATAAATCTGGATTAAAATTGATTTTCAAAAAAACATGTGCTCTATACTATTTTTCATAAATTATAAAATAGAGAATCAATTATTATATTTCTTTGTCATAATATTTTTTTAATATTATAGCTATTTAATTTTTATAATAGCTTTGTGTGTATTACAATAATGTAATATAATAAATAATTATTTAGTTAAATAAATGTTGAAATCATATTTTTATTGCATTATATTACTGTACTCTAATGATTTTATTCTTGTATTATCAAAAGGAGCGCCCATAGAAGGCCAGGAAGTGTCCGAGGCCGATTTACTAGGAAAACCGATATCGAAAGATTCGGAGGATGAGGAGAGTATGGATAACGAAAAGGCGGATGGACACTCCGCGGAGGAGGAAGGCGCTGATAGTAACAAGAGACATGCGGATTCCGATCATTCCGACAGCGCGAAGAAAAAAGCGAAGAAGGAAGATAGTAATACGGAGGGTAGTACGTCAGAATGCGAGTTGAAGTCGGAAAAGAAATTGGCTAACATGCGGAGGAATATCCGGGAAGTGATGGACGAGGCGCAACTTGATGAGGCTACGCTCTCCGCTCAGAGACAGGAAATGGAGCGTCTCAGGCGAGTGCAGGAGCAACAGAGAATCATCCGCGAAGTGCAGCGTCAGATAGCAATTAACAGAGCGCAGAGCAACAAGGCGCAGACACGCGTTATCAGCCTTTTACAGGCAAAGCAAAATCAGGCTGGCACTACCATGCTCTCGCAGTCATCTCCGTCGTCGTCATCGTCGACTACGTCGTCCACCCAGGTTCGTTTGCCGAGTACTGTGCTTCTGAAAGTAAACTCTGGTTCTGGTACGGGCGTTCAGACTACTCAGACATCCGGAATGCAAGCGGGACAGATTCAGAGGAGATCGGTGGACAGTGGGATGCGTTGGCAGAAGGGTAGAGGCGGTTACCAAGGAGCGCAGACGTCTATCTCGCGAGTTCCGAATCGCTCTGGTGCGCCCAATATGCTGCAGCAAAGGATTCGCATGATGACACCATCCGTGAGCATATCGCCAGTGGTACCTAAGAAGGAGCCGATGGATCGTACGGAGTATTATTCCGACTCGGAGATATCTGATGTGGAAGCTGAGGAGATGATACGCGAAAAGCAAGTACACGCGATGCGGAAGACGCCTGGCGTGCCCAAATATCAGAGGCCACCTAAGGGCAAAGATGTAGTGACGATATCCAGTTCGAGTGAGAGTTCAGATGACGATTGTATAGTCTTGAGCGATCCTAGCGGTGAAGAGGAGACCGATAACGAGGACGATCCATCTAATTCTGGCATGCACACCAACGATCGGTACAATGTACCGGACGAGCACGGGCGGGTGTTAATAAATGTTGGCCATCCTGAGACCGAACCGGACGTGTTCCTGGCACCGCAAGTAGCCCGCATCATTAAGCCACATCAGATCGGTGGTATACGCTTCCTTTTTGACAACATCATCGAGACTATTGAGAGGTACAAAACCAGTAGCGGTTTTGGCTGTATACTCGCCCACAGCATGGGATTGGGCAAGACTCTCCAGATCGCCAGTTTTTGTGACATTTTTTTTCGATGCACCACTGCCAAGACTGTCCTCTGCATCATGCCCATAAATACGCTCCAGAACTGGCTAGCGGAGTTTAACATGTGGTTGCCGTACGAAGATCCTGCTACTATTGTCGAGAAGCAATCTAAAGCTACAAATGTCAAGATAGAACCCGGAATGGATATGAAACACGAGATGAAAGAAGAAAGTTGCGGTAATCAGAGTGATATATCCAATATGTCGCGGCCTATCAGCACGGAATCTGCGCATCGTTTCGGCCAGGACACCGCATCACAACAACCAATGAATGTCATGTCCGAGAATCCTTACGCGAATCCTCATCATGGTTATGAACCGCGTAACATAATGTCGGGGAGTTATATGCAGGATTCTACTATGATGAATAAGAACATAACTGAGCCGCGTGCGCCGCATATGCCGCCGAATTATCACCAGGGCGAGATATCGCAAAATCCCTTGTATAACGCGAATCCGAATTCGCTTCATAATTTCCCCGATCCAATGAAGTCCGATCCAGTAAATTGCCATAGTATGCCGCCCGGACAGAATATGACGGGACCAAAATTCGGTATGGAGCATCAAGCTATTGGTGTTATGTATCCCGGTATAGAGAATCGATCACAGAGTAATTCCATATATCCTGATATGGAGAATCGAAACGTTGCGACGATGTATCCGGGCATGGGTGATCATCATTCTGCGCCGATGTATCCAAACTACAACAACACTTCTGGCACTTTTGCGAGTTACGGCAGTCAGATTAATCAACATGAGTTGGAACAAGAACCGAAGAGGGAGAATATGCTGTCAGGAGGAATGCTGCCGTCTCAGAACGCGGAGGTGAACGTGAAGAAGGAACCGGAAGAGATCATTAAGAAAGAAGAGAGTACGTCGACAACGAAGGAGGAGTCGACGGAGGAAAAGAAGGAGACAATTGAGAAGGTGAAGACGCCATACAGCGTAAACACGCCCATTGGCATGGAAGTACGCCCGAGGCACTTTCATTTGCATATTCTGAATGATTCGCATAAAACCATGACGGCGAGAGCGAAGGTGATCCAAGAATGGCAATCGTCTGGCGGCGTTCTGCTGATAGGCTACGAGTTGTACAGACAATTGTCTTTGAAGAAGCCCAATAAGGCGAAACGGAAACGCGGTCAACCTTTCAAAGATACCGTGGACGTAGAAGAGGAGGATAAGAACAAAGGTTTGCTGGATGAAATGCATACGGCTCTTGTGAATCCTGGACCAGATTTGGTAATCTGCGATGAAGGTCATCGCATTAAGAACTCGCATGCTAGTATCAGTATGGCATTGAAGCAGATGCGCACGAAACGTAGAGTTGTTCTGACCGGTTATCCGTTGCAGAATAATCTCCTGGAATATTGGTGTATGGTGGATTTTGTGAGACCGAATTATCTGGGTACCAAGAGCGAATTTTGTAACATGTTTGAGAGACCGATTCAGAATGGCCAATGTATTGATTCTACACCGCAGGATATACGCTTAATGCGGTATCGCGCGCATGTTTTGCATGCTTTATTGGAAGGTTTTGTGCAGAGGAGATCTCACTCTGTATTGCAGATGTCATTACCCCGCAAGGAAGAATATATTCTCCTCATCAGAATGACGACTCATCAACGTAAATTGTACGATACGTTCATGAATCAAGTAGTGAAAACGCGCGCGGTGCCGAATCCGTTGAAAGCTTTTGCCGTGTGTTGCAAGATCTGGAATCATCCAGATATTCTGTACCATTTTCTTCGCAAACGTCAGGCAAACGAGGAGGACGATTTGGACTTGGAGGAGACGATTGGAGAGAAATCTACGGCGGGTGGCAAGAAATCTAAAGCGCGTCAGTCAAAAGGTGAGTCGAAGAAATCCAAGAAAGCCACGATAAAGAACAAGCCCGCAGCTAGCGTACAACCGAATGCTTCTTCGTCATCCAGCAACGATAACGCGGAAGCTGAGAATGCACACAATACTCCGAAGCAAAATAATTATACTAATTATCCGATGCCAGTTTCCAACTCGGGATATTCCAACTCTATGCACCAGGGATCTTATCCTCCTCATAATTATCAGAACTATCGTCCGAACGATCAAAGCACATACTATAGGAATGATAATAACAATCATGGCGAATATAATCATGGAGAGTTTTATAATAATCAAGGACAACAGAGATATGGTAATCAACCATTTCAGTCGTATACTCAAACATCGGGTTATAATACGTCGCAGGGATACGCCAATCAGTCGCAAAATTACATGCAGTCGAACGAGCAGTCGACGAATCATCCTCAGAGATACAGCGGTGCAGCGGCTGGATCTGACTTCAGATCAGATCAAAATCAAGGAAATAATTACGAAGCACCGGGAATGTTTCCGCGGCAAAGTTATCCTTATCAGGATCAGCAGCGTAATTATACGCCAAATTTGAATCAAGGGCCTAGCAACTATTCCCAGGTATCCAATCAGTCCTCTTTTCAGGCTCAGATACCGAATCAGTCTGCGAATATGCCGATGACAGATTACTCGTCATACGGCACGAATCAGAATCAAAATTACACGCCGACGCCGGCCCAGACGAATCCAATATATCCACGAAACGATGCGCAACCACTGCAGAACTCGGCGATGGGCTATTCTGTATCACAACAAGGTCAGCCTCCGACTCAGAATCAAACTCAAACTACCGGTTATCTGTTGCCGCCGCAGCAGGGTCAGAATACATCACCCGGTCAAAATCGAGGCTTCTCGCCGAACCAGCAGAATCAACAGAACCTAAGCTTGCAGACTCAATCTCATTCATACACTGGCCAGCAATCTCAGGGCATGTCTCTTCAAAATCAGTCGCATCCTTATTCTACGCAGGTGAATCCAACTCCGCCACAGACTCCGCAGCATACGTTCAATCAGGCATCAGCGACTCCGATGCCGCAGGCTTCATCTCACGGTTACATACAATCGAATCAACCAAATCAGGGACCTGTGACGCAGAGTTCAATGCGTGGCTATACCCCAGCACCACCGGGTCAAATGAACGTGGCGCAAAATCAGTCCAATTATCCGGCCAATCAGCCTGCGCAAAACGTCAACGCTCAGAATCAGACGCATAGGTATCCTCCGGATCAGCAAGGTTCGGCCTCGAATCCGCAGAATGCGGTTCACGCAGGATACGGGCATCATATGGTGTCTCAAGCCACAGCTTCCACTCAAGCAACGCCGTATCCTCAGCAGAATCAGCAGAGTCAGCAGAGTCCGGCGCCGCCGTCTAATCAGACCCACTCTGGTTATTCGTCGAATCATCCTGGCACGATGCCGCAGATTCCCGCTGCTCATCGATACGGCACAGCGCAGCAGACGCAGGTGGCTCAGAATCAGACTATAACCCAATATCCATCGAATCAACAACAACAATCCAATCCGTCATTAGGTCCAAACGATCAACTTTACTCTAGACCGGACGTGGCAGCGGTATCGCAGCAAACGCAAGGTTATGCTCCAACTGCAAACGAATTTTCGAATGATCGCTCGGGTGGAAGTACTGCTAGCAATTCCGGCAACAATTACACCGTCAACCAACCGCAAACACAGAATCCCGGTATGCCAAGTTATTCGTCGGATGGTTCGAACTCGGCGGCGTCGGTCGGGCAGATGAAGAGCGCGGATGATCCCTATTGGCAACGTAACTACCCGCAAACGTTCCGGCCGGATCAGCAGTGCAACGACTCGTATTATAGAGATCAGATGAATCCGGGCGTGAATCGTTATCAGAACAATTACTTTTCGCCGCAAAATTATCCGAATCAATCGTACGATTACGCTAATCACAGTTCAGACATGAACCCACGGCCCGATGAGTCTGCGAAAACTTCTCAGCAATCCGGTGCTCATCCTCCACCGTGTGATAAAAGCAATAAAGACATGACATCCAGTATTGGCGTGCAAAGTCAACCGATGCATTCGAATAATTTCACTGGCGCGCTGAATTATCCCGCGGAATCGAATCGCCAGAGTTCGGCGACTCCTGCACCCAGACAATCGGGACAGGGGATTAATTCAGCGAATAGTCCTCGATTGAATCAGAGCGAATTATTAAAGGAGGATGAGAGGGAGAAAGAAGATCAACTGGAAAAAGATAAAGAGGACAAATCTGATGACGAGATTCTCACGAAAGACGAGGAAAAAGATTGCAAGAGTTCTCCTATTGGGAAGGAAGATCCTGGAATTCCATACGATTGGGTATGTTAATATATGTTGCTAGAATATATTTCGCTTATCTTAATACATTAAAAGTTACAAAAATAATTGTTTTATAAAATACGATAATAAAACAAATTTTTTTAAATGTGATCTTGATAAGAATTAATTATTATTTTATATCTCTTAGTAGTGATACTATAACGTCTAATTTTGTTACAGGCGACAGAGTTGATGAAGAACTATATACCCGGATTGATAGACGCGTCCGGGAAAATGGTTATCTTCTTTTGCATCCTCGAGGAAGCTATTAAACTGGGAGATCGTGTGCTCGCATTCTCGCAGTCGCTGTTTACATTGAATCTCATAGAAGACTTTTTAGCGCGAAATAGCTTAAAGTATCCAGACGGACAGACTGACGCTTGGATTAAGAATGTGAATTATTATAGATTAGATGGAAGCACCAGTGCTTTAGAGCGCGAGAAACTAATCAACGAATTCAACAATAATCCAAAGATTCATCTATTTCTAGTTTCGACACGGGCAGGTTCACTGGGTATTAATCTCGTCGGTGCGAATCGCGCGATCGTATTCGATGCTTCCTGGAACCCGTGCCACGATACGCAAGCTGTGTGTAGAGTCTATAGATATGGTCAGCAGAAGCCGTGCTTCGTTTATCGATTAGTTACTGATAATTGTCTGGAGAGGAAGATTTACGACCGACAGATTAGCAAACAAGGTATGGCGGACCGGGTAGTCGATCAGTGCAATCCCGACGCGCATCTTTCGCTGAAAGAGGCGACGACATTGTCGTGGGATTGGGAGGAAGACAGTCAAGTACAAGATTTCTCGCAGACTAAGGATAGCTACACGGACGAAGTTATGCATTGCGTGCTAGAACGCCATTCTTCATTGCTAACCAAGCAACCATTTCATCACGAGAGTTTGCTTGTTGATCGGAAAGATAAAAAGCTCAGTCAGGCTGAGAAGCGATTGGCTCGTCGCGGCTACGAGCTTGAGAAGATGGCAGCTAATTGTTCAAGGCCAAGTTATAACTACGTTCCAGGAAATACAGCCACGCGAGGTATAATTTATATCTAATACACACACATACATACACAAATTTTATTATAAATTAAAAGCTAACCGTGTATATTGCGATTATTTATTCCAGCAGGTGGATTACAAATCAGGGCAATTCGTGGTGGTGATGGAGGAGGAACCACGCCGAAACCTGTTGCTTCTGTGAGACCGATGCAACAGCGAGGCGCTGAAGGATTAGGTCCGCGAAATGTAACTGGTAGCAGATGGATTCCGGCAGAAGTGTGGCAAAGGCAAGGAATGAGCGCGCAAGAGATGACGCTACCTTTGGATGTGGTTATCCCGACCAATTCTCCGGACAAAGGAAGTATCGTTCTGAAAGCGGGACAACGGGTAATGGTGCTGAAGAGTCCGAAAGGCATTTATATGCAACTCGAATCCGGCAAAATTATAGCGATTCGCACTGCGCTTAAATTGAATCAACAAAAGCGGGAAGAGGAGCCGAAGAAAGGTGAGTTAATGTATTATTGATGATTAATCCTAATTTTTGTATTATATTTAGAAACATTGTATCATTCAAAAATTCGATATTTTATGTTTGGCAGGTGTTTCTTCGATGATACAGAGGAATTCTAAATCTGAAGTTGGTTTCCCCTTACGAAATAACTCCGCCATTTCCATAATACCTAAATCATCTTCGAGTAACCAGACTGGTAGTCGACTTCCCAGTAAACCATTACCGGGTCCGGGTTATAAGCCATTCGGCGATAAAGAAATTTCCAAGAGACCGAAACCGGTCGCTACAGCGGCTGCCAAACCTTATCTGAGTCAAGTAAACCTAACTAACCAGGTTTCTCTGTCGAGGTTACCGAAAGTGAAACAAGAGCCGGTGGATCATTCCACACTCGGAGACAACTCCAATTCGTCCGACGGTCAACTGAGAACCGAGCAACGAGTCGAGGAAGTTAGATTGGAGGACGTAGTGGCCGAAGTGAGCTCGAACACCGAATACAGTCCGTCTAATCATACTCGAACCACCAATTCGGATACAGACACTTCTTTGCCGAAATCTTCCGAAGAAGGTACTCAGGTTTATACACCTGATACTATCTCTTTAGCGCAAAGCGTGCAGACACAACACGATCAACCTGAAGCGGAACTGACGTCGACCGTTGACAAACAATGTTCACCGCCGGAGAAGGAACCTTCTAAGCCAGACACATTAACAAATTATGGTCGGTCTTTTCATAGCCAGACAGAAAAGCGAGATACTTCCAATGACGATATTATCATCGAGGAATCACCGCAAGTGACGCCACAAGTCGCGACGCAAACGCACATGACCACTCTCGGATCGATGCCACCATCCTTGTTAACACCGTCACCAGTATCGTCGGCCGTGTCGGTACCATCAACCATGTCGATGCTACCGAGCATTGCAGTAACATCAAACATGTCAATACCGTCAAGTATGCCGTCAAGTATACCATCGAGTATATCGTCGAGTATGCCATCGAATGTGCCATCAAGCATATCATCGAGCATGGCGTCGACTATGCCGATATCATCGAGTATGTCGTCGACTATGCCGACACCATCGAGCATGCCGATGCCACCGTCGATGCCGCCAGTTCTATCTGTACCTGTAAGGGGCCCGGAAACACATAAAAGCAGCGCTGATTCATCCGTCGTTGCATCATCGACTATCTCAGTGTGCACTAGCACTAATATTACTTCTCCGAAGAACGTCGAATCGACTCCGAGTATGCGAGACAATGTGATTCAGGGAGATCCAACAACGCCGAATGTACCCCAGGGGTATCCTTACGCCCAATATCCAAGATACTATGACTACAGTGATCCACGATCCCGCTCACTATCCAATCCTTATGGCACTTACTTTCCCAGTGTTCCACCACACACAGCGAATCCCAGCAGCAGACTGCCAATAGACACGACGAAGCCTCAGCCGGATCTAGGAAAGCCTACGGACGAGAGGAACGTGATGAACGTGCCTACTGCTTACTCTTCTCAAGTACCGAGCATTACTGCCAAAACGCTAACGAGCAACTCCGCGACGGAGTCTAAGGGTACAGACACCGCAGCAGCCGTGACCACCACGGTGGCCTCCTCGAGTAGAGATGAGACTGCGCATATACCTACCGCGTTTAGTCATCCTACTAGCACGCGCTATCCAGGGCCGTATCCACCGGGCCCGTACGATCCATACTCGCAGCATTATCCACCGGCGCCTGGCTCTTCAGCAGCGTATCCTCCAGGTAGTGAGAATTTTATATTCTTAAGCAAAATTAGACAAAACAGTAAAGTTTTGTCATCTGCCTATACATCTCAAATTAGATTTGTTAATATCTTTCTGAACTTTGTACTCTAAAGAAATGCGTCGATGTTTCTTCTTTTGTGTATTCATTAGCAAAAATATTAATGGCGAAATTAATCCGCAGGAGCACCCGGTTATCCAGCATACGGTGGACCGAGTTACAACACGGATTACGCTCGTATGTATTCGGCGTTTCATGGTCCACCACCTCCGACGGATCCCTACATGCACAGAGGATACGCCCCTCCCTCCTCGCATCCCCCTAATTACTATTCGCCGTTCCCGCATCCTCCGCCACCCTATCCCAACTATTCTTTCCTGCCGTATCCGAATCCCAATATGTCGAGCGAGCCTCAACCACCCGCTCAGTAGGGAAGCAACGCGTTTAAGGATAATCCTAGGTTAAGGATAATGAAGAGCGAGGAAGTTATCGCAAAACCGCGGCTCCGAAGCTTAATAGACTGAAGCTGTAAAACGCATCGATGTAAATATTTAGTCACAAATATTGAGATATTAAGAAGAGATGTTTGAATTGTGGAGATTATTGGAGTAGTTTGCGATATTGATATACAAGATGATCGAGAAGGACGAGCGTAATCGCTGTAATTAACATTGAACCGTGCAATCTGTTAAGCTGTTTAGAATATTTTAACTTGGCTGACAATGGCCATTTTTGCGATGCGTTCTTTGTTCACTAGTTAACTTCACTGAAAAAAATGTACCCGTTGAACGGTACAAATCACTCCTTTATTTGATCCACCGGTCTCATAAGGACGATGTCAAGTAAGATTTTTTACAAATGCTTAGACTATGCGTCTTAGATTGCAATATGTTTCACGCTGTAACTGCAATCAATTGCGTCCCCGTGGTTTTTTCTACTTTTTGTACTTGCATGGTGTCATTTGCCGAATTAGCCTTTTGTCAATAGCCTCTTAACATTGGAATTGATAAGTTACTGACGGCGTATAACTTTGGGAAGATTGAAGGTGTAAATTGTATGATTAAAGGGTGAAAAGCGTTGTATACTATCATTTAGCTTCATGTGTTACATTCAGCCATTTAGCTTATTTTTATATAACTCATGTAATAAAGAGGGGGAGAGAGTCATTCCAGCAGAACAAAATTCTCATGACTGACGACACGCATCCAATTACATAAAACTGAATCTTACAAATTAAAAATGATAACGATATAAAACAAAGTTATGAGATTTTGAGTTTATATCTTTTTTTTTTAATGACTCGATTATATGATATTAATCAACAATGTTTTACGTTAAGACTAATATATTAAGGAATTAAATTTAGTGTTTTTGTAATTTTTTTTCAGATGATTTTTAGTTTGTTACTACCTGAGATTCTTAATTTTTAAGAGTGACACATATAAAGAATACACACTTCCATGACAAATCCTTGACGAGTTTGAGATGAATCGACTGATCCCCCTCGTATGGTACGGCAAGAATAATGAATTTGCAAGCTATATGAACTACTTGAAACTATATTATAAAATGCAGATATTCGTTGAGAAATATTCACGTGCATGAACTGTATTATAATGTACTTGTGCAGTGAGATGTTTTTTCTATTCTATCACATGATGTACTTTATGTATTATAGCGATACATTTGATTGTTACGCAATTCTTGGCGATTCAGTGACTATATTCTGACATTATTTGTCTAAAGATTTGTTTTGTACATAACATGCGTTCATTTAGAAAATATGGTTTTTGTTTGAGCTATAGCTGTAGTTTTAATACGAAACATTTTTTTCAGATTTTTTTTATTTGATAATTTTTTTATTAAAAAAAAAAATACATCTTGTATTTTTTCAAATGGAATTATTATTTGATTCAAAAGATTTAAAAAATTTTTTCGATACCTATTTGAAATTCTGTTTTAAATAATATTTTTTCTCATGCGAGAGCAATGAATCGCAAAGAATAAAATTGGTTTGCATTGTGCATCATTCTTCCGTAAATCTGATTTTTACGATGCGCATCATCGTCTTTTCTCTTTTCTCATTGAGCGCCGAAATCAATTGCTATTCTCCGTGGCATATGTTACGCCGCGTCTACATGTCATCTCGAATCTTTTTCCATTTACATACATTTACACGCGTAACATAAGTACATACAGTATTCACCTGAAACATTTAGCAGTCAGTAAATACAGTCTACAGCATCCCTAGCAAGTTGTATATGGATTGCGTATTATACTATTAATCGTTACGGTTTCCGAAATAGATAATCTTACAGTAGAGCGTAGGATTGTTGTTAAATAGAATGTCTCTTACGATTAAAAAGAAAAAAAAAGAAATTCACACTATCTCGGACACGTAGCATAAACGTAGGGAGAGCCATGATTTTCAGGAGCGACTCTTCAGAGACTCGGAACTGTGATATTTTATTATAATCTCGTGTCGAATTCGCGCACTGTACGCTCTTGTCCGGAATCAAAGTCGCCGACCTTGATTTTGCGGGAATTTCGCGAGCTGGTCCGGAATCTCGGTCCGCCTTCGCGACGCTCGATCGAAATTGTTGCATTTACGTTTAGTGTAAGTCAATCCGGGTGCACGAGATGGCTAATCCATTTTTCCAAGTGGGGCACAGAGGCGCGCACGGGTTTATCATGGTGCTCCCTGTAATACATTATACGGACCAGTGGTATTCAACCCTTCCTCCAGTATAATCCTGAAAGCATCTCTTTCAGATCTTTATAGACATGTTTTCAGAATATTATACTTCCGAATATACATATATATTTTCATCTGTAAGAGAGATTTTTGTAAAATCACATTTTTGTATATCTTCCTTTATATATAATATAATACTTTATATTTTTATTTAAAACCACATATATGTGCAATGTTCCTCTATGTTTGTAGGAAGCTAATTGCTCACAAGTTTATACATTACAGACATTTTCCTTTATATCTTTGCGCTTCTGTATCAAAGCTCTTTCTTCCAAGAGTACTCTAGGTTGAATACCTCTGATTATAGATGAATTATTCTAGCGAGATAAGCGTTCATGCTGGATATATAATTAGTATACTGTGTCTCCGTGGCGGGTCTCGATGTCGTCTGTTTGCCGTGCAAAGAGACCTCAGCGTCCTCGGCGTTTACTTGGGACGCTTTGCGGCACACGTTTCGTAGGTTCTAAGTGTACAGGTGTTACGTTTAGCGCAAGTAAACTGTGCAATTCTTCGCAAACAGCCGACAAGGAGCCTGTCTTGTAAAACGCGTGCGCGAGAGCCGTTCGTCCTGAAAGCATTTCGAAGTTTAATCACGAAGTAACAGCATTCACATCCCGCATTTAGTGACCAAATGTGATTGTTGCTTTGTTTTATGTGTAACATAAAAATGTGATGTTACATGCATTCGATGTTACCATAGGCTGAGAATTATATGACTACATTTAGTGCTAAATGCGGTGGCCCGATTTCGAGTTTTATTTGTGTACTTTACAATAATTGCATTTGATGTTATACTTGGCGTTTTACTTATTGTTAAATAAGTAAAACTCTATTGTAGATTGTGTGAATATATACGAGTCGATGTGTGACTTGATGTTTTCATAATATTTAATGATAAATAACGGTAACGAAAAAAGATAAAGGCAAAGTGTACGGGCTAATGAATTTGTCATTAAGATGTGAATACGCAGAAGCGATATGTGCATTTTAGTGAGACTTTCGAGATTGACTTGCACCGCTCTCAGAACAAGCGGCTCATATATTTGCATAAGAGCAATTATATTTCTTTTCTGTTATAATTTTTTTTTTGCCATTTGCATATCTGTAAATACCCATCATTTACATTTCATATTTTATTTATTATTATATATTAGCCATTATGATCGCTTTTTTGATGTCAGAGTATTGCTTTTATGTAAAATAAATTGTTTACATTGATGAGAGAAAAGAAATCGTTTCCATTGTACTATTGTTATGTAGAAAGCGAGAAAAAGAGAGGAAGAGAGAGAGAGAGAGAGAGAGAGAGAGGGAGAGAAAGAGAGAAGAATGAGAGCCTACATATATATTTGTTTTTTATAACATTCATCTTTGCATCTGTGACCAAAAACAGGAATTAGCTCATAGGTCCGTATTTTTGCCGCACAATTAACGCTAAACGTGGCCGTCTAATTTTATTAAGAAAAAGCTATTCTTGTCTGATAAATCTCGATAAAACTTAATATGACGTATATAAAATTGTTCCGTAGATAATTAAATAAAGATTTCACAATTCTTTATTCTGCTCATAAAAAGTTTCAAAAAATTGTAGAAAGAGAGAGGCTGTCTCGTATAAAGGATTTTGTGAAATTAAAATGTAAGATTTACAAAGATGTTTGGGGGATTCTCGATATATCAAATAAATTATTAGGAATATCAGAAAATGTTCTCTATGTGCAAAAAAAAAAAAAAAAAGATTTTTGCAGCTTAATAGATTTACGATTACATGTAAGATTCAATTGTAATGAGAGCATCAAAGGCAGCTGCCTTTAGCGTACGGCTAGAATACGCGCCGAAGTGTACATGTAAATGCTTAGTAAATGCGTAAGGGATGATTATGTGTCGACTCATTATGGGATTACAAGTAAACAAATTCATCTGATTAGTACGAGAGAGATTTGTCTTTCAGTCCGAAATTCTCTGTATCGACGTGGTAAGATTTTCGCGATACACACTTTTCGTCTGTGTACACACGATAGGATGATTAAATACATGTTACACACAAGAGCTGGGTTTATCGAAAAGTTATAATAAATTTGCCAGCGGAGAGGAATAAAATAACGCTCGTGTTGCAATCTGTTTTTTTTTTCTTTTTTTTTTTTCATAGACCACGTTTTCTAATTGTAATTTTTCTATAAACCGCGCTACAGTGTATATGATACATAAGACGAGATAATTAATTAATGAAATAAAAGTATTCGATATATATATATTAAACGGGCTTGTTCTCTGTTGCAGCGGATAAGATTTGAGATTTATTGCGTCGTTGTGTATATAAATGGCTCATATATATATTTTATTGTATTCTGTTTTAAAGCATGTGGTTTTTTCAAAGATACATATAATCTTTTTCTTAAATAAGAAATCAAAAATAACTTACGTGATATCGAATTATATAATGGATTTAATTTGCAATACTGTTTAAGAATATAAATGATTAATAACTTTTCAAAAAGATTACTATTGTAGTAAGCGCAAATAAATGTTAGATATTTTTCATGAAAAGTGTAAAAACCTTAAAGTAAAAATTATATTTTATCATATATAATATATATATATATGAAATATGAAATAAGGAAAAATAGCACATATAGTAATATTAATGAGTGATCTTTCTTAATTTGAATTATTTTGTAAGAAGTTCTTTAGTTGGAAAAAAATAGTCTTTCTATGACAGATTAATAATTTATTCAATATTTTTTGGCTTTATTATTTCTTAAAAAAAAGGAAGTTAAACATTAGATAACAGTGTTGTATTACTGTTTATTATATCTCTGTTAGCATTACTTATTTTATTTATTAATTATATATTTTATTTAATTATCTACCCTTTTCACGTCGAGTTTTCACCGATAATTAGGATAGAAATAAAATTATTAAACAAGTTATCTATGTCCACTATTTATTCTATGACTGAGTAAAATTCTATGAGATAGTATACCATCTATATATACTATTTATTCTATGACTCAGGGCACTCTTAGTCATTGAATGAATAGTCATATAGATGGTGATATTCCATAGAATTATCCTTAGTCATAGAATAAATAGTAGACATAGAGAGATAACTTCTTCTTCTTCTTCTTTCTTTTATGGCTGGTTGGGCATTAGTCGCCCATACACCATTGTTTCTTATGGGTTTGTATAATATAAGCAAAACTCCTCTAAGAGAGGAGGGAGTCCAAAAAAAGGTCCAGACAAAGGACATACGCAGCACGCAAAAACACGTCCGAACCCGACACGTTGTCAGTCGGAACTTAACCAGCGAATAGAGAGATAACTGACATTTTAATCATAGAATATATAGTAGATATAGATGGTCTGTTAATAATTTTTTCTGTATTATATTTATTGATGAGAGCTAAGAGCTTGACAAAAAGAATAGATAATTAAATAAAAATTCATGGTTAATAGAGATGAAATAGGTAATTAATAAAATCGGCAGTGAGTGTAGTAAGATTTATTTTTCTTGTACCAATTATAATTCAGAAATTAATTTCAAATTTTATCGACTTCAATTTCCCGCGTCGGAACGAATATTATAAATCTGTTCTTTATAGGTGAACTGGCTGCACTAGTTCAGAGTTTATCTTTTTCTCTCCTCATTGGAAGAAGAAAGATAAACTCTGAACTAGTGTATCCAGTTCAGTTATAAAGAACAGATCCTATGTTATTCAAGGCGATTTAAAGTGCCTTAAATAACCTAACCTAACAATCCTGGTGGAACGGCATGGCGAATGCGTGAAAGTACACGGGGAATTTACTTTCGCGGCGAATGCAGCTTATCAAGCGCAGTTTGCATTATATCGCCTGTAGGGTAGGGGCGTACCACGTTTCCAGCAATCTTTCACTTATCAGGCTACCTGTCAGAAACGTTGTTACCACCGCCAGCTTACTTGATTTCAGCCGGTGGGGCACCAAAAAGGCGAACAGAAAGCTGAAAATTGCCCTCGCGCTCGAAATAATGGACCCTAAAGTCGAGGAAGCCCTGGCGTCTCTCCGCGCCAATGTCAAGGAACAAGTGAGTGCCATATGGATGCAGGAATTGAAATTATGAAAGAACCTTGTGGTATTGTCAATTTCTTAGCAATATTTTGAGTGAAATTAATGCTTTAAATGTTGACAGATTTTGGAAAATGGATAAGTGTCCATATTTTTTAAAAATTAATTATAAATGTGCTGGGTGTCTTTTCACTATTGTGTCATACTTCAATTCCATACTTTTTTAGATAATTTGTGATTATCTTTTTATGAGATATTGTCCTTTGCAGGGTGATTATGTACGGAAGCTGAAATCTGATGGTGCGCCAGAGTTGGACATCAAAAAAGCTGTGGCAGAATTGAAATTGCGCAAAAAGATACTAGAAGACAAGGAACTGTCTTTAGCTTCTAATAATATAACATTTGATAGGGCAAGGATGGAGGATCTCTTAAAGCGTAGATTTTACCTAGATCAATCCTTTGCTATTTATGGAGGTATCACTGGTCAATATGATTTTGGGCCTATGGGTTGCTCGATGAAAACAAACTTGTTAAACACTTGGAGAAATTTCTTTGTATTGGAAGAACAGATGCTTGAAGTTGATTG